GGAACGGCTCATGGTGGCCTGGTAAAATTGTGGGTTCCGATGAGCTTTCATGGTCGCACCTTGGCTCACCTCGATCTGGAACTCCAGTAAAGCTCCTTGGAAGAGAAGACGCCAGTGTGTAAGTTAGGATCCTTCTTCTTTACTTCGAATTCTCTACTCATTGGATAAAGTAAAACTATATAGTTTTTGATATCTTCGTTCATATGCTTCTCATCAGGGATTGGTACAATTTAGAGAAGTCCAAGCGTGTTAAGCCATTCCGATGTGGTGAGTTTGATGATTGTATTGAGAGGGCAGAGTTCTCGCAAGGCATGCCAATGAAGAAGAGGGAGAAATATGCACGTAAGGAGGATGCTGTTCTTCATGCTCTTGAACTTGAGAAGGAGCTACTAAAGGATCGAGGAAAACTCGATCAAACGACGATTGGATCCCCGGTAAAGAAGGGAATACTTTCTTTGGAACATACCGAAATCGATGATATAAACGATGGGCATTTTGAATCGCATCTGTTTTCTAAAATCATAGATGTAAATTATGACAATGAAATTATAGATCCATGTCGTAAAGCAAGTGAAGGAGCTCAACTGAATGGTGAGAATGTTCATCCGGAAGCAAAACCAAGGACGAGAGCTTGTCGGAAACGCTTGTACGTGATACCGATGCTCTGGCTCCTCTCAATGGTGTTTGTAGCATTGGAAATGACAGCTATGCAAACGGTAAGCACTTTTCGATTTTAGTATATTGACGCATTCTCGACCCCGAAGGATGCCAACATAGACTGCAACAGCTAGATTAACGCATCGTATTCTTTTTCGACTTCAGGGATGAAGCAAATTGATGGTGCAAAGAGGAGCAAGTGTATGCGTCTTCCAGTTGATTCAGTGGAGAGCAAAGAATCCTCTCATGGCCAAGTTGAGATGTCAACGAACTGTTTAGAACTTGGCATTCTGCCTTCTCAGCTCGATTTCCTGGTTGAAGATGATGCTTCTAGTTCATCTGAAAACGACTCTTCTGATTTAGAGACTGATTCTAATTCTTCCATGTCGGATAAGGAAGTAGATAATTACATGGCTTATCATCACGACCTAATGTCTAAGTGGCAATTGAAGGGGAAAAGGAACGTTCGAAATCTTTCGAAAAAGTCTGCTGGACTTAAAAAGGAGTATTTCGATGACACAACAGAGCAAGCTCGAGCTGAGGCAATGGAAGAGGAGTATTACTTAACGTCAAAAAGGGCATCAAAGGATCAAAATCTTGTAGGAAATTACATGTCGGACTGGGAGGATCAGCAGCCTGATTTGAAAGGATATCGGGACATGAAACATCGCTTATACGATACATGTCATCGTTTTGGTGGGAGGTTAAGAACTATATTAACAGAGGTTGATCTAAAAGTCCAAGCAAATTACCAGAAAGAGCCTGTTCCTATTGTATCACTAGTGAGCAAGTTAAATGGGCAAGCTATAATTGGGCATCCTATTCAAATTGAAGCTCTACAAGACGGGATTTCTGAAGCTCTTCTTTCAGATAGTCTAGGCAATCAACCAGCTTGGAGGACTGCAAGGAGGACAGCAAATGTTCGCATCCCTCGCACTCGTTTACCGACAACAGTACTGGACGGTGAAGAGGCAAGCGGCCCTCACAGTCCCCGACCTTCTCGTGACAGAAGGCTGCCAAAAAGGATGTCAAAAGAAAGCAAGCCTATCAACTAACCAGAAGACTAGAGCTTTGTCTTCAATCACTGTCGAGCCGAATTATAGTAACGTGCCAATGCATGATAGTGTAACTTGTCGAATGAATGGATTGATCAAACCCGAATCATCTAGGCCCCCAACTGTAGCATACATACCAGTAAAGTTAGTATTCAGTAGATTATTAGAGAAGATCAATAGGCCTCCCTCAAAAGCTACTAACAATGTGGTATTGTTAAAGAATAATTCTCATAGAGATTCTTGACTTGTTACGTGCATACTTTTGAATGCTCGAAGTAAATGTATATCCCAGGTGTAAATAAATTGATATATTCATATGAACGGACTAAATGACTCGATTCTCCCAGAAGGCTAGCTAAGCTAATAAGTAGTAATTTTTCTCATCAATCAAATAAAAAAAGCTTATCAATTGGTTTAGGGCATGGCCACGTGAACTTATCTTGCCAGCCCTGGCTTCTTCGATGCGGATAACATGGTGACAAAAACCTGGTCCAAGTCTACCACAAACCAAGGGAACTTCTACAAGTTGTGCACCATCAGCTTATCAAGAAAATGAAAATGAAAATAGACTAATGCTCGAAAATACAAATTTCGTTTAAGAGAAAAGGAATGAAGTGGATCAGCTTATAAAGATCAGATAAAAAAAAAAACATCCCATGGATTTTCCTCCTACTTGTCTCAATGTTGTCTACTTAACAACTCCTCAAGCTCACTACTTACCTCAATGTTGTCTTCTATCAATCTTTGTCGCATGTCGGGGGCTCGTTTTCCTGCAGCTGCATAGGTCTTGAGCAATAGATGGTATGCACTAGCATCGAGACACTTAAATCTCTTCAAAATCCTGGCAAAATCTTCGGCGCCTTCAATGTCTTTCTCTTCCTCAAAGTACATCAGAAAAGCATTCGCCATCGCCGGTGATGGATGCCATTCATCGTCCATGCTTTCCGATATAGCTGATTCCAAATGACTGAGTGCCAAATCGACTTGCTTGAACTTCAAGAAGTAAATCATGAACATTTCTCGAGCCCTAAAGAAAGGTCCTTTACTTCTCTTAATAGCATCCTCAAAGACCAATGCAGCATCTTCGTACATGTCCTGTCGTAGGTAAGCCCCGATCGTAACATCCGCTAACCGCAAATCAAAGCTCGAGCAACTAGATTCCCATTCCTTATAAGTGCTTTTAAGACCCTCGAAATCCTTTAGTTTGCTTAGAGCCTGAAGCATGACGAGATAACTCATGTTATTTGTCATTGGATAAACTGATTTCAGTGCATTCCATATCCTATACACCTCACTCCGATTCGACGTCGATGCATAAAGGCTTATCAAGAAATGGTACGCTAGACGATCCTGCTGCTTATTCGATTTGATCTCGTTCTCTACCTTCTTAAGAGCTAATTCAGCTTTCTCGAGCTGTCCTGCCTTAACATAGATAGCAGCCAAGTTCGAAAACGTCGTCCAATCAAATTTGTTTCTGTCTTCGTTTTTCATCTCCTCGAGAATTTCTTCAACTTTTCCAACGCCATTCAGGGAAGCACAACTGTTCATCCAAACATTGTATGTGTACGTGCTAAGAAAAATCCCTCTCCGCTTCATTTCATCTATAAGAGGAGGTACTTTCTCGGGTTGATCCATTCTCATATACATGGTCATAAGATTGTTAAAGGACAAATTGGAAGCAAACTTCAACTCATCTATCTTCTTAGAAAGAGCCAATGCCTTTTCCTCCATCAATTCCTTGCAATAGCAATTCAAAAGAGCTCCATAAGTAAATCGATTCTTCGCAGACGACGACAGATCACAGAAATAATTCTCCGCAGCAGCAATTCCTTTAACTTTCGATATAAGATCTAAACGCAGCGCGTAGTCAGTGAATGAGTAGTTGATTTTCCTCATCTCCATCCATTCCATTATCTGCAACAACCGAAGCAAATGCAATGGATGAGCTAAGATCTTATGGTCTCCTGCAATTACAGCAACTTTTTGGCTGGTTCTCCCTCCAGAGTGCTTTTTCATAGCTACCAGATCCAATGATTTTTTATCGTAAATTCTTCACAAGGTTTTTGCCATTTCCTTTATATTTTATGAATGTTTCGTTTACAAAAAATTTATGATCTAGCAGCGAAAGGAAGAATACAATCAACAATTGGCAATAGAATTTGAAAAACAAATGAAAAGCAGCAGTAATTTTGTGCATTTATATTTCTCCTACAGTGAACGAACCTATGTGTTTAAGGAAAAAACCTGAAGGGCGTGGTGGTATCTACGGTACTTCCGGAGCTCCTTTATGCATCTCTCGAGCTCATATTTTTTGACGATCTTTCCCTCCATAATGTACTGGTTCAATGTCTGCGCCACGCTACCGCCGGTGGCACCCAACTTCGACAGCCTCGGGTATAGCCGCTGCTGATCATTCACAGGACCGCGCTTCGACTCGGCGGTTGAAGTACAGAGATGCCGCAAACCTGCCGACGCTCTCGAGAGTAAACTCCGACGATTCATTTCTCTCGAAAATCACTTGTCCTGAGGTGCGTGATACGTCGGAGGTTTTGTTAGGGCTTAACCACAATCCTGCCCATCCACATCGTGGGTTATTTTTCATTTCATTTTTTTTTTTTTTTTGGTGGGAGGAGGGGGATGAGGTCTTCTATTTTTATTAAATACAAATAATAATATTGTTACTTGTGACTTTTGAATGAAAATGGTTCAAAATTGCAATATTTAAAATAAAAATTGCAACAAAGTTTAAATTATAGTTTAATGAAATTTAAATTTATGATTAAAAAGGTTAGCTTTGACAAGCTTTTTCCTATTAAATATACCCTATCTATGCACTTTTAATAGTTTCTAGTCAATTTTTAAATACTATGAACTTTTAATAGTTTCTAGTAAATTTTTAAATGATAAATTTTGTTAATATATCTAAGTCTACTCGATATGTAAAAAAAAATCACATAATATTAAATATTAAGCGATCGCTAAAATATTTTATCGTTATATAAGATTGTTAATATAAATAGCAGTCACACTTTCAAATGTGCACTTCCAAGCAAATTGAGAACTATGTGATTAAAAATTTAATTTTGCGAAGGATAGAAGTAAATACACAATTGTATTTAATTAATATCTAAACAGTAAAATTTGATTTGAAATTTGAAATATTAATTAGACTAAAAAAATAATGACTAAAATAAGCTAGAAACACAAAATACATAAATAAAATATCAATTAAGTTGTCAACAAGATTAAATTCCCATAAAAAAGAGATCTCATCCAAGAAATCAAAAGGAGGCGAAAGAAACATCCAAAACCTCAATTTTCAAGTATAAACATCACTTGAGTCGTGAAATCAGCAATAAGATGAAGAATATGGAGCCTAAAATTTATTCTGTTCCATTAGTTTTCTAATTTTTCTTTTGTGATATGTTTTTTTTTTTCTTTTCCCAAAGCTAATAACACTTGGGATTTCGCCAAGATCGAAAGAACTTTATCAATATGAAAAATACAACATATGGTATCAAAAACTCATTGAATTAAAATGACGAAACCTCAGAGATCTAGAAGCCTGTCCAGCAATCCAATTCTACTCTCCAACAGCAATGAAAGGAAGTCCCCTGATAAATGATAAGCAACTCAATAATCAGTGTTTGATTCAATAATATAGATTCAAAATTTTAAGTCCTCTCATGATCGGTAATCGCTAGATACAAATTTGAAATGCGTTTCATCAATTTTTTTTTTTTTTAACTCCCAATCACATTGCAACGGCTTCCTTCTCTAGAGATTGTTAGCAAATAAACTAATCATCACTGTCAATCTCCGTTCACAGAGAATTTGATCTCAAATGGGGTTCTCTTAAGTGTCACAATGGATTTGGGTTATATATGTATTTAAAGAAACGAACTGTCACAGAGGAAAATGAAAGAACACAGAGTATAGTTATTATCCTTTAGTGCAAGTTTTAGGAAGTGTTTGCCACTTACCAGCCCCCATGTCTTGAGAAATAGTCATTATCAAGTGAAATAGCAAGAGCAACGGCTACAGCTCTCTCTGAAAGAGTAAGGTGTCGGGCGACTTCCAGCTCTTGAACCTGTCAACATCAACAGCACTCGATATTGAAAAAGTACATTGTATGAAAACTAAAATCAAGTTAAACATGAATCTAATAATTTTACTCCTTTAGCGGGGCCAGTCCTTGAAGCCGAATCTGAAGCACCAAAACGAATAACATACTGACCAGCATCAGTAAACATCTGCAAAATAGTTTCAGAGAACAGCAATTGATAAAGATATTTGCCGTGGAATTTGTTTCATCGACTATAAATAGATATCTCAGGAAGAAGTTTAATCACTTATGGAAGAAGGAAATGGGTTGTATAACCAGATTCCACAAAAGATCAATATCCCGGCAAGTTAAACTATTAAATAGGCAAGCAATCTGGCAGATCCGTAGGTATTTGATTATATCTAAAAAAAAACTTCATTATAATCCAGCGGCAATCAAAGGTCAAATATTTGATTATATCGAGGGCAAAAAATTCCTGATTTCGGAGATCCGTACAAGTCTTGATTCATATTCTTGAGCATTTCAATTCCTAATGGATCGACTTCTGAGTTTTATTCTTATTGTGCAAGGCTGTAGTGGTGCATCTTTTGTAGGGGAGTGGCGGAGAACTTGGATCCATTCCTTGTAGCTGTCTTTTTGTTAATTTGATTTGGGCATTTTTTTCCTTTTTCGGGAGCTTCGGTGAGAGGTGGGTTCAAAGCTGAGACTTGTCCTCCAATGATGGAGGAGATGCCCTTTCATACCCTTTTCGTGATAATGTCCTTTGGCGTTGTACTTTCTCGTGTGTGGGATCTGAATAAAGAGAAATTGGAGAATCTTTTGGGTTTAAGAGGTCGTGTGAAGAGGCATGAACCCTTCCTAAGTCAATGTGTCTCTTTGATCATCCTTTACTATGGGGGTTTTTGTTGTAATTTTCTTAGGCCTTATCCTTCTGGATTGGAGCCTGTTTTTTGTATTTCTTGTCTAGCTGCTGGAGGTTCCTTTTGTTTAGCTGTTTTTTCTATTTTCCATTTTTGTTTTCATTGATTCTTTCAATTTGTCTAAATGAAAAGCTGGTTTCTGATATAAAAATATGTGTTCTTTATCAAAAAATTCTCTATGATTTTTTTTCCTTTCTTTTTTAATAAGCACATACAATTTAAGCTTATTCTATTACAATAAGAAAGGCAAGAGGCTTAGGCTCGTGGCAGATTTGGAAGCACTGCTACAGGGATGCTGAGAGCAAGAAGATTATTGGATCTCTTTATTTCCACAATGCACATTTCTTTAAACGGAAAGTTGCTAAAAGGTATCAAATATAGGTTTATTATAAAGCTATTGCAGGAAGAGAAAAGAAAAAACCTCGAAGCCGAAACCTCTCCAGTCACGATCCACCTCAGCAAGCACATTACCATCAATGTCCTTTAATGTGAAGGTCCAATTCCAAAAGCCAGGATTTTCAACAACTGCGAACTGCTTGTTCCTAATAGTTACAATTTAAATTGTCAAGTCATAATTAAAATTGTTTGAATAAAATTGGCTGTTAATCCCATCGCAACTTTGTATACTATAATGCAAATGTGTAATCACAAACATGATAGACAAAAGGAATTAATACATACAAGGATGACACAATGATGTTGTCATGGATGTATTATTTCAATTATAAGATCTTAAGGAAACATACTCAAAGTAATAATTCTTGTGTTATGTTAAATTTACTAATAGTTACTTTTTAAGGATAATTTGATTAAACGTGTTGTACTTTAAATTACCATAGGGAAGAAATAATGAAGAGGAAATAACAAAATCATACACAAAAACAAAATGATATGACTGCCAAATTGTGATGGCTCCCTTCTAACCTTTGGATGCACAGTAAAATCTTAATTTTTAGTTTCTCTCTTCTATACCCACAATATAAAATCTCCAACCAGTCAACCACATTATACCAACCTCCTTGAATAATTGCTCAACAAACGCATGCATGCATGCCCTTTCAATCAGAATCAGTTTGATGGAATATTATGAATTGATGATAGATAGTTTGTGCTAAACTTACCCAAGGTACAGATCATACACCCTCCTCCAGAGATGCCATCGCCTATGAACCACACCAATTTCCTGAGTTGTTTTTCTAATGTGAAAACATGTCCAGAGTGCCACAAGCTAAAAGAATTTCCGACTGTATGCACTTAATGTGACAACTGAACTACCATACCTTACCATCAATTTCAGCATATATAGAACTGGTTAGCCACCAAAAGGGCCGTCGAACCTATAAGAACACAATAATATTTCATTTTTTAACAAAACTATCTAAAAGTCAAATTTAGTTGATTCTTGAAATAGAGAAGAAAAACATTAAGATGCTTACCCTGAAAAGTTCATTACCCATTGCATCAGTAATATATGCCACAAAAGGGCGCCTTAGACGAAGCAACTGTAACAAAATGTATCAAGCATTAGCATTTGAAGTTTTAATAAGATGAATTGTTCATTTTTCTTACGAGGGGAAGAAAAAGAGAAATTATAAGCCAGCATGGAACCAGGGAAGTTACCCGAGCACTATATGCTCAGTTTCATATTTACAGATCAGAACAGTCACAGTTATTATAGTTTTACAGTAGACCATGGTAACGCAAAAGATTCTAAATTATACCTGTCTAGCAACGATGTTACTTTGCTCCCGAATAAACCCAACTGGCTGTTAAACAACATTGCAGTATATAAGGTTAGAGAAGAATATGATGAGCGTAAAAACTGGAAAAAAGAAAACTAAAAGATGAAAATGGATGCTTACTGACTGGGGATAGCACACGTCTACTATAGCATAACGATTTTCCTGCATTTCTCAAATTAAAGTGGTGATATAGCATAACCACAACCCAAAGTATCTATAAGTAAAGAAACAGGAATGCAAGCAAGAATTTGATGATAGACGAACTTAGCAACTGTAAAGCTATTCAAGTGTAGATGACTGCTTATTAAAGGTAACTTTCTACAAACATCCCAAGGAGCAGTCAAGGACGACACATAATATTGGTCCAGGAGTTTTCCAAACATGTAGATAGAATGTATAAATAAATATAAATTATAATCATCCGGAGTTCAGGAGTTTTCAAAACATGTAGATAGAATGTATAAATAAATACAAATTATAATCATCTGGAGTCCATATATAGATGCTTTGAAGAGGGGGCCAATAAATACAGATAAAATCACGAGAAAGAAATATTACTAAGACAACAGTAAATGAGAGAAGTGGTAAAATCGCCAACTTCATAAAATCATCAACATGATTCTTGCTAAAGAAAAAGGAAAGTTAAAGCAGGAAGAGCAATTCAATAAAAAGCATCTATCAAATAACACATGATTTCTTTGCACTCTTATGATGATGCTAGGATTTGATCGATAAGGACCTTAACTTCATCATTCTAATCCTCCAAAATTTCCGAAGTTATGTTAAATAAGTGGACGATATAAAAAGTGTGACAGAAATCTGCACGTGAATAACTAACCAAGAGAAAACAAGTGATGGAAAAGAGTTACCTGCTCAAATCCAAGAACCAGATTTGCCCACTCTATATCCCTGGTAATGAGCAAATTAGATCTAGCAAGAAGAGGTGCAACTTGGACCTAATTAATGGAGAGGGGAAGGAAACAATCATGTTATAGTGATGCTAGAGGATAGAGGAAAAAAATTATAATTGCAATAAATTTGAAATAAAAATTAAGTGAGAAGAAGCAAGCATCCTACTATGAAATGCACAAAAAGATAAAGAACATATTCCCAAATTAGTAATCACACTCACCTAAGAGGTAAGCATAAGCGATTGTCGTGCCCGAATACTCAAGACTAACCATGTAATAGCCCAAGCCCACTGCTAGCAGATATTGTTCTATTTGGACTTTCTCTTTCGAACTTTCCCTCAATGTTTTAAAACGTGTCCACTAGGGAGAGGTTTCCACACCCTTATAAGGAATGTTTCATTCCCCTCTCCAACCAATGTGGGATCTCATAATTCACCCCCTTGGGAGCCCAGCATCCTTGCTGGCACACCATTCGGTGTCTGGCTCTGATATCATTTGTAACAACCCAAGCCCAACGCTAGTAGATATTGTCCTCTTTGGGCTTTCCCTTCCGAACTTCCCTTCAAGGTTCTAAAACGCGTCTACTAGGGAGAGGTTTCCACACCATTGTAAGAAATGTTTCATTCCGCTCTACAACCCATGTGGGATCTCACAAACCATATTCTGCTCATTAGGATTTGACATGAACTAAACTTGAGGTATAATGGTATCTTATTAGGGAAAACATACATGGTGGACAAAATTTCTCACACTTTGACGATAAATCTGAACTAATCCACTCCCATAAGTGGAACCTCAATACGGAAAGAAGAATCGTTCTTAGCACAGAGAGAAGAGAGTACACAGAAGAGTGAAAGATTCTGATCTAATTGACTAAAATTCAAATACATAGCTTTACATTCCAGTGGGAACGACGCACACTGGATCAGAACTATTTAGCAACGACAACAAACAAACTATATCATTCGTATGATGAATTAATTAACAGTTCGTGATCGTGATGAAACAATTATGAATTCTCAACAAATGAAATCCTTCGGAAGGATAAAAAGCATAGTTAATTCTGGTAATCAAGACTATTCAGGGAAACTGCAACTGGAAATGACAAGGAACGGAGGAACTGATATTGCTGTTGAATATAAATTTATTTTTCATTATTATGATCGGAAAATAGCAGGAGATGTCCTTGCAGATACCAGGCCACTTCATAGAATCAAAGCGCAAGCATATAACTTAAAATCTAAGCTTACCTCCTCGGGAGTATGCGGCGCTAGAAAACCAGATACAGATTGACTTGGAGGCGGTTGCTTCCACTGTTTCCCTTCTACAAAAGTCGCATCCTTAGTCGATAACCTAAACGGACGTTCATATACCAGATTCCTGGGATTATAGGGAGCTATTCGATTTTGATTTCCATTTCGAGTCAATAACCGCTTCCGCTTCTCTCTACTGCTTCCCAAATTCCTATCTACATCCCACAGCTGCGCCAGGAAGCTCCTATCTAAAAGTGGATAGTCATCATTCACAATCCTCCCTCCGAAATGACGATAGCTAGGCGCAATTCTCTGCACTGGCCAAAGCGAACTCCTACCGCACCGATCTTCTCCGATGCATTTGCGAGCAGTATTGGACCAAAAACGCGAACTCCTAGTCCAGTTCATCTACGATATCATCCACAGAATCCTCCGGCAGTATCAAACTTCAACAATATTGCAAAAAGAGAGATCAAAATTTGCTCTGTGCATAAGAATGCTTTAGAGGTTCTAGAATTTGCAGGCGATGAACAGAATCGTGCTTGATTTGGACGGGAAACTATAGAGAGGGAAAGCTTGCTAGTCACAAGATTGGGAAAAATAAAATAAATAAAACATAAAAATTAATACCCTCTGAGTTTAGAATTAAAATTGATTTATTTCCCACAAAAAAAAATATTTATGTTCCCCCTTAATTGCCATTTTCCAAAAACAATTATAAATATTTTCTTTTGTACAAAAAATAAATTACAAAACTAATACAAGAACTTCAATAATTGCTGATTTGGAAAAAAATATTGTAATTTTTATGTGTGAAATTTTTATTAACTTAAAAATTTATTTCCAAAAAAACAAAGATTAAAAGTGATTTTTAACCAAAAATAAATATATAATCTGATTAAATAACGGGTTTGTCTTTCTATTATTTTTATTAAAATTATCATATTTTAAAACTATTATATTAAATGTATTTTATAATAATTTAAGAATTATTTAATTAATTAAAATATACAAGATATATAGTAATATTTACTATCAAAATGAAGAAATATCAATTAGAATAGAAGAACTTAACGTGCCAATTTTTAAACATTATAAATTAAATTTAAATATCAATTAGCAAAAATATTGATCTTCAAGATCCAAAATAAAAATTAAATTCAAAATTCAATTACCCTTTAGTAATTATATATAAATTTATTAGCATAGTTTAATTTTCAAGATTAATGTTACATTTTTCAAGTATGCTTAAATTTTAAATTTTATTTAAATTTTTTTATTAAAAAAATCACTACTTAAATTTTAAATTTTTTATTAAATAAAAATTACTTTTTAATATACCGTTCAAATTCTTAAAGATGAAAAGGTATTTCTTATACTTGATCTCACTTCTAGTTTTTATTCTTAACAAATTCAAATAAGTTATTTTACTAGAGATTCTGTACCAACTCCAAAACAGTTACATAAATGATGTGGTCTGAGTTACATAGTTTTGTTAACTGCGTTCGGTATCGACCTACATTTACCGATTAACGATCACGTGAATTGTCGTCTCATGTACGTGTCTTCGGGGACGAATACGGGGTCAGCAGATCTCTGTGGAGGGGGAGGGAATTGGGGCTGCCCCATTGCAATGTTTGCTTGAGGAGGAATGCAGGGATTACCAAACACAGAAGGCTCAGTCTCTGCTGAGTTCAATAGGATGTAATAGGTCAATCCCAGCACTATGCTCATCGTGGCCACAATGGTAGCCACAGTAAAAAATCCTGATCTCAGGACATAGCAATAGCCTAAAAAGTAGCTTTGTTCGCCCCGTTGGTCGTTCAGTGCAGCACCGGTGAGCAACATGATGAACGCTTTCGCAAATGTAATCCTGCACAGGAAATTAAGCTAATGTTGTTGGTCCAAGAAAAGGGTATGGAAAAATGCTACAAACAAGTGAAGAGTACCAGGAAATGACGTAGCAGATCAAGGCTATTCGCCATTTAGAAACAGAAGAGCGAGGGGCTGCGAAGCAGCAAAAGCACCCTGTCGCAACATTTAACGTTATATGAGCAAGCAAGAGTGATAGAGCTGCAACCAAACCAAGGCCCACCGCTGGACTTTTGGGATATTTGCACGTAGTACGATTGACTACAATAACATGATTAAGCTGTCAAATGGAGAACAACTAGTCAAACTTCTAATGATTTGCATACAAACTTCATTTAAAATGCAAGTTCCTCTTCTACTGATCAAAAGTTGGTACACATAATCATACATCTTTAAGACAAGACCAGCTAGATTCAAGTTTTAAGTCATGTTTTGAAAAGAGAAAAAAGTGTGTCGCAAGAATTTAGCTAAGAATTTGTATGTTCTTAAGAAAAGATCATAACTATTCTAAGAAAATTAAAAGAAATTAAGCACGATTTTCAAAAAACTGTATCGATTGGATATAAAAATGTTATCAAATGAGCCTTAATTATGATCTACCCATGGAACATTTCTTGATCCAGAGTCATGTCTCTGATTTGTTGTTACATGAATTGAATCGGTTACTCATTACAACTCTGAGTAATTAAGAAGAAACTGTTCGAAATTTTATGGAGAAAATCTGAAGTTATGTAAATTTCAACCCAAATTCAAAATCGCATAGCACAAACAAAAGAAACTATGAGTAAATTGCATAACCTCTTGAAAACCAGAACAAAATTGCTATCAAACCGACTCTAATTGGAAGTTTATGGCCTCAGCCTCAAGAATCCTTTGAGAAAATTCAAAGGTCAGATCTATCTTCTCTGCTAACATTTGCCATAGGAAATAAAATGCCGATTTCATCTGATTCAGATCGGCATTTCTCAATTATTAGACAAAAGAAGAAGAAGAAGAAGAAGATCCATTCAGTAGGGCTCGGGAAACGAATAGAAGCAGCCAAAAACAACAGTTTCAATCCAATCTAAGTTTTAAATTCACCAACAGCTTTTTCATATATAATTTCCAATCAGAACATTAAAACTCCCCTTCAATACTATTCCATCACTTTCTTTCCGACCGATTTTCTCATCAACCAAACAGAAAATCCACGGAAGAAAAATCACACAATCAATAAATCATGAGTAAGAAAAAGCATCTTCACCTTAACTTTGGTGCCCTCAGCGGCAAAGCCAGTGGCGATCACCAAAAGCCCCAAAAAAACGACCACAGTGTACACAACCAGAGCCTTCTTCTCCATCTCCGCCGCCGCCGATGGCCTACCTCGAGTCTCAAGGGAGAAACAACCGGCGGAATTTGGTGGAGTTTCGGATTGATGTCGCGATTTCAATGGGCGAAGAAACTGTGGTAGAGAAACTTGTACTTGAAGTTCTTGAGAGGAAACTGAAAGACGCTGAAAAGTTGACGTAGGGCTTTCCAAGTTAGACACTTAACAGGGAGGATGTGGCGGTTATGTCACTATTTCTAATTTAAAAAATTATTAAATAATTTAAATTGTGTTAAAATTTATACTTAAAATTTGTACCAAATTACTAAATTTATGACTTTTAAAATAACAATAACTAAAATAAATATTTTGAAATTACAAACTAATATGAACCAAAAGGCAAAGTGTAATAACCAAACGAAAGAAATATTAAATTAAAATTAATAAAAAAAAACAAAATAATGATTTAAATAGTATCTAAACTATATGCCATTTTTTAATGAAAAAAAAATATTGTTAGTAGAGGTTAGGATGCCGGCGATAACCTAATTAACGTAGACACCCATATTTTCACTAAAATGCACGTTTGCTCTGGATTAACAATATATTTAATAATAATTTAAATATATATATATATATATTTTTTTTTTTTAATTTAAGATTGGTGTATTTTTTATTTCTTCGTTAACTTTCACGATTACAATTTAAAAATCAAATAATTCAAACCTTAATTATTTTAAAAAATAAATAAATTTAAGTTTGTTTAACATTTTTAATTTAATTGCTCAAAATTCAAATAAACAAAAACTTCCAAAATTTAATAGTAAAATTGTAATTTAACTTAGAAAATAATATAAAATGTAAAATAATAAATAATTTTATATAATAATATTAATTCATTTTGTAGTAATTTGTTGTGAGACCGATAAGTCAAGAAATCAACCTTTGACTAAACAAACTTCAACGGTATAGACCAAAGAGAATGTTCCATTTCCCATCACCCTCGTGGGCTTGATTCCCATAAAGTGAAATACCCAAAGTACCCTCCAAATTATACTGCCAAATCAGTCCATGTTTTCTGAAGTATTTACAGCAAAAACCACAAACTTCAGTCCCTTTTTGAATCACATCGCGACTGAAGCAAACACATAATTTTTCTCCATCTTTGTTCCATGTATGATCAACATGAATGAAGGATTCCGAGACATCGGGCTCTCCGTGGCTGCATGGTCCACAATCACCGGTCCATTGGACTTATGGTTATGGTTCGGAAACGAAAATTAAATTATTTTACATCAATTATGTTCGTACAATCATTAACCTTGCATATTTAGTTCTCGATCACACCTCATAGACTTCTGAAATTCTTTCAATACGGCTTTATCAAATCAACACGGATTTGTCTAAGTTATCTTTAAAGTACGTGTTTGATATTGTTGCCCATGTATCGATCAATTAGCCATACGAAGAAGGGATTGAAATAATAGAATTAAATTTTTGAACTCCTTCTCCGAGGTTGATTTTAGAAATCGTAAAATTAATTATATTATTTCCCTATTTCCCTTAAATATAAAAATAATTAATAATTAATGTCTAATTTTACCTTAAAATTTGTAAAATTACTAAAAAGAAATTCAAGAATATTAGTTCTCCATATATTAATAAATGCTTGCCAAATTTTATGAATAAAACAAACTTAACGTCACATCAAAAGTGTTACGAGAAAAGTAATGATAGTTATAAGATAGCGTATTGTTTTCATAGGTCCAAAAAATCTCAACCAATTTTGGTGCAATCAGTGGGCTTAAAGGACACCGTCATATTGTCGATATCATACCCAACCAAAAAATTCGACATCATACTGTTCCCGATGAGTGCGTCCTTGTCGTCAACGCCCATTGCAGTGAAGCAAAAGGACCCATCTGGCATCTTATTGAAAGTCTGAGCCGTACTCAATCGCAGATCCACGTGGCCGTCGAAGTGTAGAGTTATCACCAAATTCCCCAAATTACCTTTGTAGCAAAGAGTATCGTCAATGGGCTTCAACGGGATATGTCGCCGAACTTCAGTAGCCAATCGTCCGTACAATTCTTTGGGGAGGAGAGTTGGCGGCGTGCCGGTATCGAGAATTGCATTCCCCTTGGCCGGAGGTCCCGACGTACTGTACGGAACGAAGGTTTTTTCGACAGAGATTCCCTTGAGGGTGAGAGAGTAAGATGTCTGGTCGGATGTTCGAACGAGTTGGGCTGTGATGACTCCGGGTCCTTTAACTTCAGAACCCGACCCGATAGAGAGGCTACTTGAGATTCTCGGGTCGGTGTTGTATGGCATCAGACAAAGGGAGAACTTTCTGCCGCCAACCGATGGACCTATCTGTGAATATGAATTTACTTTAACTATAAGGTTTTGAACTTTATAGTT